GCATCTCTGGTCTGTCAGGTCTTACAAGGGCATTTCAACTGTATAATGGTAGCAAAACTAATTTCCAATTTTACTCGTTTGCTTACACATCTGCATCTAATTCGACAACAGTTACATTTGCTTTACGTCATGATCCTGGCTACTGGTCAATAGATGATGTGTCAGTTGTCCCGTACGGTGGTGGACCAGAACAGTTATTGAACACCGGATTTGAAACAGGTGATTTATCTTATTGGACATATTGTAACCCGAAAAATGCTACCGATAGTGGTACAGTATTATACAGTTCAACCACTTCAGCATATTATCCATATTATGCTCATAACGGATATTACTTTTACCAAGATGGCTCTATTGGATATGAAGATTATCTGAGTCAAACATTTTTAACTACACCTAAAATGGAATACTATATAAGCTTTTATTTAGCAAACAGTGGGACAGGTGGTTCCACAATTCCATTCTATAATGATGCCTTTGTGTACATGAGTTCATAGAATTAGCATTAAGATATGTATAGTAATGCACTATTCTAACATTGTGTTTATGATTACAAGATTACCTCGTGTTGTATAACCATTCATTCGTGAGTTTATTTTGAATCAAACTAATTGTCAACGTGTATTTATAGACAATAACAGTGATAACTTACTTCTTCATAACTTTTTTTTGATACATAATTAATATTAAAATAAATACCGAGATGAGAAACAATAAACCGTTGACTTTGCTTTTTGTGTATTTCTTTTGTTATTAAAGCTACAGATTGAAAATACGTTATTGCGAGGACATAGGTAATAAGAGAACGTCCAGACTCACACAGGTCTCTTCGTTGAGGATGACTATACGAATAAAACAACCGGAAAGCTATGGTGTAAATCACAAGGCTTTCATAAAAATACTCTCTTACTGTTGATGCCCTCCAGTAATCCGGTAACTGGCACTATAAGACCAAATGGATAGCTAACATGTACATCAGCCAACAACAAACATCCGTGCAATATTCTCTCGTAACTCATCCTCATGTTCCCACCTCTAATTTAAGAAAAAGTTCAAATCAAAATGTGGTTCAAAAGTGGATTACCACTAGTGACTTCGATGGTAGGCACCACTACGCGTCTGATAAATGCGCAAATCTAAAAGTCTAGGAAAAAGTTTAAGAAGTGTAAAAAGTCTAATTAGATTTTTAACTTCTACATTAGGGTTGACCCTACTTTTAGTTTGATTTAGATATGTTTCGTTGTGGTATTTGATTCTCTCTCTATTACAAGTTGAACCCTAAATTTCTACCATCTCTGTTCCGTGATGTTTGTCTGCTCTGTTTTTTACTCTGTTTACTTTTTGTTTAATTGAAACTCTTACGAAAACCATGTGACTGAAAAGTAAAATGATGCAAATAACAGAAATTTTGCTATATAAGGTGTCGGAAATTAGAAAGTTGAGCACTATAGTTTTTTCGGTTAAATCATACATAGTTTGAAAGAGCACATCGAACTGAGTAAGAAAAAGTTGGCTTTTCAAAACATTTTTTTCCTGCTAGAAAATCTTAAAAACTGGAAGGATCCAAATTTACGAAGATGCCTCTATGTTTAGAGTACTTGAAATTCACTTGTTTGTCATTCTTTTCAATTTCAAACTAATTTTTTCTGATTTATCATAAAAAACTGATTCTAAAATTGATCTGACTCTTCAAAATGTTACCACATCATTTTGTAAATCAATCTGACGAGAAATTTCATTTCTATTAAAACTATTACATTTAACTATGGCTTGTATTTCGCCATTTTCTTATCAAAATTTGAAATGTTTCTTAGTTTTTCGAGATTTTCAATTTTTTAGTTAGATGTTGTTTAAAAATAGAATAGCTAGTACACATCATGTTATGAAAGTGTTGCACTGCAGCGTTGAAAGTTTTGATAAAACACTACTGAGCAAAAAAAAGCAATGATCTGGTTTAACCGACTCTTATTGTTAAGCGAGTGTGGCATACTTTTTGTCACTGTATTTGCATTGAATACCTTACTGATTTTGTGCTTTTGCCGTGACTCTTGTACAATGTTTACTTTAATTCTCGTAATTTGTGAATTTAAAAGTAATTCTTTGACTTGTAGTTCATCGTTTGAAATGTGAAATCTAAAGCTAGGACATCTAAAACCCTCTTCCTCTATCGAATGTGGTTCCTTTTGGTTCTACGGAACTCGATCCTTAATGATCATTCTATCACACGTTATTGAACACACTAGATTTCAGTTTCTTGTTTTTTATTACATGGATGTTAGCCATGTACTCTTTCCAGTTCCTGAAAAGGCACGATCTTGATTGGAATTGCAAAAACGAGGCCAAATCTCAAGTGGTGATAAATCACAATGATTTATCTCGATGATGAAGCGAGAAGACTCGAAAGCTCACAGAAAAAGGTTTAAAATTGTTGGTTTAAGTGTCTCAATATTAAAGTTTTGTTAAAAAGCACTATTGTACAAAAATAATTTAGTTTTACACTTGACCTTGCGTTTAAAACTACGTTCACACAACAACTTTGAACTTCACTTTGTCCCCATCAGAAGTAAACTGAGTTCTGGAATGAAATCGTTCAATCGAGTTCTTAAACCAGATTAACCAACTTTAACCGCGCTCAGATTACGCAAGATTTGATCTAACGGCCATGCTTTCCAATGAGTTATAGTCCAGACTTTTCTAGCTTTTAATCGGGAGCTTTAATAAATTCAAAATAAGCCGGCAACAAATACTGAAAGAACAAGCTGTTTCTGTATTGTTCATGGCATTGAAACGTTCCACTAAAAAAGGCGCATATGTAACTTATTTTTATTTTCTCCCTAAAGGTAACCAAGTTGATGATCTTAGAAACCATGCGTTTTCACGCCTGCTTTCTACATCTAAGAATATGTGAAGAAACAAATATAATCGACATAAAAAATGTATCAAACGATTTTTTTCCAACAGCCGTTAGATCAATTGGAAAAATTGAGATATAATGATGTCTAATAACTTTGCCGCATGCACGTAGCATTATATGCAAAGTTAAGCGTAAAACGCTACATTCAAGGTTAAAAATAAAAACATACATAAACTGTAAAATCTTAGGCCTAGTATTATAGTGGCAATTTACGTTATGTCATAAGTCAAAATAAGCTCTGATGAAAGTGCGGTAGTTTCCACATATCTTCCGAAAAGAAACTAGTGATTTAGTTTGACAGTGTTTTGAGCCCTTTCCATGCATTCAATGGATATATAGGTGATGTTTGGTAAAAAGCTTTTTATCGTTACTGCGGCAGTAATCTGTTTACCGGACATCCCTATGAACCGCACCACTGAATCTTTTAGATAAAGTGGTGAACTCTCATAGAATTTACTTGTAGATAAAAATGTTTTCGTTTCATACGAGAACTGAACAGTGATAAGTGTCATTAGCCTACCACACAGTCGTACAATGCAATGTGTTGTATATGCGTGTGTTGTTCAAAGAACGGTTTTGTATGCACGAATGGTTTCAACCGATTGTTTTTTTTCTGAAGTTATTAATTTAAAATAGAAGCCAAGCAAATAATTTTCGTATGTAGATCATTGCACAGAGGATGGCAAATAGTGACTCCTTAAGAGTTTTGACAACAGCAAGGCACTTATCAGTTCCTAGAACGTCTCAGTCCTTATAGCGTGCGGGTTAGGTTAAGTCGTCATGTCTATGTAGGTGTGTTTCGCTAGTGATCAACATCGCTACAACTCTGGGTCGGGTCAGGTTGGGTTGTCCTGGGTGTAGTCAACATATACTGCACTAAATTTCTGGGTTGGGTTAGGTTGAGCTGTCATGTGTGTCTTGCAGTGTCTTACTAGTGATCAACAACTGTAT